ATATGGTCGTGTGCAATCTGTTGACCAATCACAATTAGGCGAGCCGCGCTCAAACGTCAAGTGCAATTAAGTAGGTTGATAACGAGCCAGCACTGATCAGTGATGGGGAGCTGCTTTGCATAGTATACTGTAAATCGTCTAAGGGGGAAAAAAAGACGTACTTACCTTCCCCCCCTCGTCCGTCGCTTCTGGACGCTGCAATATGCTCGTTTCTGGACCGCGAGTACCGCAAGTATACGGTCGTCAGAGCAAAGTGAGACTCTGATTCAGAGGCACATACAGCCTCATGCACATTGCACTCGCTAAACACATTCACACGGCGTCGATTCTCGGTCGGTATCCAAGCGTGCGAAGGCACAGAGACACGGCACTTCGGCGTGCCAAGGAAGCTTTGAGCACGCCACCAGACCGGCGAAACTTGCTTTCGACGAGTTGTGCCTTTACCCTGCAGTACTGCGCTTTCGTAAACTTTTCAACGTGTTCACAATGGCAAGTGTCAATGGTGCACTGAATCTTAAAAAGTTTCTTCGGCGAATGACGGCGAACGACGACGAACGAGTAGAAAACGTGTCTACAACACGCTGGAAAACCGCAGCAAAGGCTAGCAAAACAGCAAATCGTATCCCATCACTCGCGCTGCACGCCGCCGTCGGCGGTTCATCCCCAACGTAAATTCGCTAAAAGTTATTCACTAAAACGTAATTCGCTCATATGATATGGACCGTTCGGTATGATTTTTCAGTGAATGACCATGAACTACAACATTCAGTCAGATCTTCCATGAAGCGGCGTTTTATGAAATGTCCGGATCCAGTAGCGCATGCATTACTAACCCTATGCCCACTGCGTTTCAATCACTTTGCAACAAGGTCTAGCAAAAACGGAATAATAGAAAATGGACTTACTCCTTGTTCAGCGTGTTCATGACGTTCAACTAGGCCTGATGAATCCACGAGTCCGCCACCAGTGCGACTGGTACAAAACAACAAGGCGACAATGTAGGCCTAGGAGTGGTGGTACCGGTAAAGACGGGTTGCCGGCGTTGGTGCAACTGGCACGATCGGGTGGATAGGTGGGTAGTAAACAGGTAGTAACACAATACGTTTACTATTTGCAATGGGAGGTATTTCGCGTCATTTAGCGGACAACTACAATCGAAGCGTCATATAAGGTGGGAAAAGTGTTGCCGGCTGGACAACACACAGCCCGCCCACCTGCAGAACTTTTTAATCGGGTTCCGTGCATCATTTTATCTCGGCGTTGTTACTTGACAGGGTATGTAGGTGCTGTAGCGGCTGTGGTATCTGGTGATACTGATTTGTGTGAGTGGCCAAGGCGGACAAAAAGAGTCACTTGGAAGCTTCCTTGGAAGCCAAGCCAGGTCAGGTCGTCCGGAAGTAAGGACTAAATGGTGGATACAAACGTTTGGAGTTCTTTTCTATTTTGTTTTTGTGTTTCTTTTTTTTATCCACGTCATATCGACAACGGAATTTTATTTTAAAACGCGCCCGCGACGTTCCCTTGGAAGCGACTGCCCTGATGCACAAGGGTTTTGGTGCTACTGGATACTGATACTAAGTACCGGGAAGGGAAAGTATTCACTAGGATGACCTTTGGGGAATAAGATAAACATAAAAAAAATTATAATTAAAGCACCCGTCACTCCTTTTTAAGACAAGAGAGGGGGTACCGGTGGCCAGGGCTAGCACACACCAGCTCGGATCGAGTTTAGCGAAGGCTCGCTCTGCAGAACCTGCAGGAATCCTGGGTTCAATCCCCACCCCTGCCCGTTTCGATCTGGATGAGCATCGTGCCGGCGTGCGGTCGTGTATCACTGTACTGCACGCTAAAGACCCCAGGCTAGCAGCTTGTACTGCACTGGCTAAATTTTTCATCTACAGCTAGGTGTTCGTCACTGTCGCTGATTTAGTTGTCACCGCGTTTTATTAGACCTCATAAAATTAACTGCAACGATGAAATCGCCGCAGTATGTTCGGGCGAGTCGGTCATGACGAGAGGAACGAAAGCAAGTACAGCAAGAGAGCCCACCCAGCAATCGAAAGAGAAAAACTCCGAAACTCCTACGCTCCCCCACGTGCACTCGCGGGAACGTTGATAACGAAACTGAAATGTCAGGAGTGACTACGGATCGTACTCCTCGGGAAAAGGCTGTGCGGAGAACTACCCCAGACCGCTACTACTAGAATAGTGCCAACGTCATAAAGTGAGGCTAGAGTTTTTCGCAGTTGCTTAATTTTAGTGGTCTTCCCCAACTAAAGCAAAATGTCTGGAAATCTAACACGAAAAAAGTAACCTTTTAGTGGCACAAAACCGGATAAAGGCAATAGATACTGTGGCAATAGATGTATACAGGCCGGCATCATTCCAATCCAATCCGGTCCGAGTTCTTGTGTTCTTGCTTTCCTCCGCACGTCAACGATGTCGACGACGGGAATCACTGATCAGTGACATGAGCTGCGTGTATCTTGTGACGCAGTGGTTGACGCAGAGTCCCGCAGCTATTTTAGATAGTTAATTTATTTTACTTCGATTCTTGACTAACTGGCGTCATGTTACGAGCCTGCGGGAGTCGTAATGAGAGACGACGTCAACTGAGATGGGTTAGGGAGCGTGCTCTCAAACAAACGAGGGATATCGAAAGACGCTCACTGGACTATAGCAGTGTTGAATCCCATGAACTCCATTCTCCCGGCAATTGCTGCAGTGAGAGTGCCCCACCACTGGGGTCACCTACAGGGGATGCTGCATCACGAAGTACGCCATCCTTTCTTCAAGGAGACCCGCAGCCGCGCGCGGAAGGCTCCCCATTTGTGAGACAGGACGCTTTCTTTGCGGATGACACATCGGACGATACGGAGGATGAGGCAACCATGGACTCCGCATCGCGACCGTCCTTGCAAAAAAGACTGCGAGGGTGGGTTGGCAGGCACAATGTGACCCACGCCGCTGTGAGCGACTTGTTGTTCGTTCTGAAAGACGAGGATCCAAGTCTGCCGGCAGATGCAAGGACGCTGCTAGAGACGCCCAGGCAATGCCCATTCGTCAGCTTTCAAAGGGGGAGTACGTGCACTCTGGATTAAAGGCTGGCCTTATCAAGTGTCTCTCTTCTGGATTCGTGATCCCAAACGCGGTCACGCTCCACCTGACGGTGAACGTTGATGGGTTACCGCTTTTCGACAACTCCAGCCAGCAATTCTGGCCAATACTGGCAATGGTGTCAGAAACGAGAGATCAAGGTCCATTTCCTCTCGGGATGTTCAGCTGAACAAAGAAACAGCAAACGTACAAGAGTACCTCGAAGAATTTGTCAAAGAGCTGGACCAAGCGCATCAAGAAGGCGTAGAATGCCTAGGGAAGAAGTGGCATGTTGCCATACGCGCTGTAATGTGCGATTACCCAGCGAGGGTGTTCGTAAAATGTACTAAGGGCCACACCGCTCACTACGGCTGTGACAAGTGTGACCAGTACGGTGTATGGAAGCACCGAATGAACTTTCCTGAAACCAAGGCTGAACTCAGGATCGACGACTAATTTTCTGCAATGAAGCAAGAGGAGCACCGCACTGGTGTATCCTCTTTCTCTAGCTTGGGAATCGGCATGATCTCTTGCTTCCCAATCGACTATATGCACATGATTCTTCTTGGAGTCGTCAGGAAGTTCACAAAATACTGGGCCACGGGGCCATTTACTGTTCGACGATCTGCCTCCCAGTTAGATGTCAACAGCCGCAGAATCAGCATGCTCCGTCCACACACGCCATCAGACTTCAGCAGAAAGTTGAAGACGCTACAACTAAGGGACCGCTGGAAGGCGACAGAGTCACGCCTATTTCTTCTGTATGCTTGCCCTGTAGTCCTGAAGGGCATCCTGACTAAAGAATCGTTCCAGCACTTCATGGCACTTCACGTCGCCACAAGGCTCCTCTGCACGAAAGATTGTTCTGCTGAGCTTGTTTCATATGCTGACCAGCTCCTAAACTACTTTGTTGAGAAGGCCTCTTCACCTGCACTCTACGGAGAAACTGTGGACGTCTGTAATGTGCATGTCCTGGTTCACCAAGCTGAAGATGTTCGCAGGCTTGGGTGCCTCGACTCATTCTCAAGTTTCCTTTTTGAAAATTATTTGGGAAATATCAAAAAGAAACTCCGTTCAGGAAACAGGCCGCTGGCGCATGTCTTCAAACAGATGGCTGAGTTGTCAAGTGCAGGAACGACGAGGAGGAACAAAGACGCGAGCTCCGTGGGGAACACTGCGAGGGACCGGTCCCACCAGCATTTAACGATGCCAGACAATTCCAGGAAGTCTTTCACCGAGACCGTTCTATGAAGAGGGTGCAAGGGGACAACTGTGTATTGCTCTCAATTAACACGTCAGCAATCATTGACAACATCTTACGTTATGAGGGCGTCATTTACATTGTTAGCAGGTTATTTGCTTCTGCAGCCGCCCTGTACACCTTCCCTTGCAAATCAAGTTTGCTTGGAGTGACAGCGGTGAGCTGTCTGTCATCTAGATGTTCAGTGTGGAAGCTTCAGGACATCAAAGTTAAATGTTTCCTGTACCCTTGCGATTCTGGCCATGCCTGCTTCTCTATTCTGCGCTCATCATCTGCGTGAACAGGTGAGTCTCACATGCTTATGTGGTGTTCTCATACAGTTTCGTTTTTATCTTCTGCACATGGCGCTAACGGCATGCCCAATTTCTACGTTTCAGGCTGCGCGGCTCCACTGGACCTTTTTCCGTGTGTGGCACGTAAGCCTCCACGACACACCAACTGCATCTGATACATCCCCTCATGTCAACTGAAAAGGTACGGTGGCATGATTTTCCTGGATATTATGTGGTTATGGCCTCGTTCAGCGAGTATTTTGCTTTGCACGTCTTGATACTAACACAGCGTGCTTGATTCGCAGGCATTTGACGACGCCCGGGCTGCTTGCAGTCACTTTGAGGTTTCCTGCAAGTGCCGAGAGACCCTCGACATCTGACTGCAACACCCCTGAAAAGGTACGGTGGCGTAATTTCCCTACATATTTTGTAGCCGTGGCCTAGTTCAGCGAGTGATTCGCTCTGCACAGCTTGACATTAACACAACGTGCTTGCTTCGCAGGCATTTGACGACGCCTTGGCTGCTTGCAGTCACTTCGAGCTTTCCCTCAAGTGCAGAGAAACCCTCGACATCTGACTGCAACGCCCCTGAAAAGGTATGGTGGCGTGATTTCCCTACATATTTTGTTGCCGGGGCCTAGTTCAGCGAGTGATTCGCTCTGCATATCTTGACATTAACACAGCCTGCTTGCTTCGCAGGCATTTGACGACGCCTTTGCTGCTTGCAGTCACTTCGAGGTTTCCCACAAGTGCCGAGAAACCCTCGACATCTGACTGCAACACCCCTGAAAAGGTAGGGTGGCGTGGTTTCCCTACATATTTTGTAGCCGTAGCCTAGTTCAACGAGTGATTCGCTCTGCACATCTTGACATTAACACAACGTGCTTGCTTCGCAGGCATTTGACAACGCCTTGGCTGCTTGCAGTTACTTTAAGGTTTGCTGCAAGTGCCGAGAGACCCTCGACATCTGACTCCAACACCCCTGAAAAGGTACGGTGGCGTGATTACCCTACATATTTTGTAGCCGTGACCTAGCTCGGCGAGTGATTCGCTCTGCACATCTTGACATTAACACAGCGTGCTTGCTTCGCAGGCATTTGACGACGCCTTTGCTGCTTGCAGTCACTTCGAGGTTTCCCACAAGTGCAGAGAAACCCTCGACATCTGACTGCAACACCCCTGAAAAGGTAGGGTGGCGTGATTTCCCTACATTTTTGTAGCCGTAGCCTAGTTCAGCGAGTGATTCGCTCTGCACATCTTGACATTAACACAGCGTACTTGTTCGCAGGCATTTGACGACGCCTTTGCTGCTTGCAGTCACTTCGAGGTTTCCCACAAGTGCAGAGAAACCCTCGAGATATGACTGCAACACCATTGAAAAGTTACGGTGGCGTGATTTCCCTACATATTTTGTAGCCGTGGCCTAGCTCGGCGAGTGATTCCCTCTGCACATCTTGACATTAACACAGCGTGCTTGTTTCGCAGGCATTTGACGACGCCTTGGCTGCTTGCAGTCACTTCGAGGTTTCCAAGTGCAGAGAAACCCTCGACATCTGACTGCAACACCCCTGAAAAGGTAGTGTGGCGTGATTTCCCTACTATTTTGTAGCCGTAGCCTAGTTCAGCGAGTGATTCGCTCTGCACATCTTGACATTAACACAGCGTGCTTGCTTAGCAGGCATTTGACGACGCCTTTGCTGCTTGCAGTCACTTTGAGGTTTCCCACAAGTGCAGAGAAACCCTCGACATCTGACTGCAACACCCCTGAAAAGGTTCGGTGGTGTGATTTCCCTACATATTTTCTAGCCGTGGCCTAGCTCGGCGAGTAATTCGCTCTGCACATCTTGACATTAGCACAGCGAGCTTTCTTCGCAGGCATTTGACGACGCCTTGGCTGCTTGCAGTCACTTCGAGGTTTCCTACAAGTGCATTGAAACCCTCGACATCTGACTGCAACACCCCTGAAAAGGTAGGGTGGCGTGATTTTCCAATCTATTTTGTAGCCGTAGCCTAGTTCAGCGAGTGATTCGCTCTGCACATCTTGACATTAACACAACGTGCTTGCTTCGCAGGCATTTGACAACACCTTGGCTGCTTGCAGTCACTTTGAGGTTTCCTGCAAGTGCCGAGAGACCCTCGACATCTGACTGCAACACCCCTGAAAAGGTACGGTGGTGTGATTTCCCTACATATTTTGTAGCCGTGGCCTAGCTCGGCGAGTGATTCGCTCTGCACATCTTGACATTAACACAGCGTGCTTGCTTCGCAGGCATTTGACGACGCCTTTGCTGCTTGCAGTCACTTCGAGGTTTCCCACAAGTGCAGAGACCCTCAACATCTAAGTGCAACATCCCTGAAAAGGTAGGGTGGTGTGATTTCCCTACATATTTTGTAGCCGTAGCCTAGTTCAGCGAGTGATTCGCTCTGCACATCTTGACATTAGAGAGTTTTAGTAGATCGTTCCCATGACTCCGTTAACGATACCCGATACTCCGCCACCGCCTCCCTTGCGCATGCATAGTATCGTTATCGGGGTCATAGGAGGTATCGGAACGATCTTCTAAAACTCTCTAATAACACAGCGTGCTTGCTTCGCAGGCATTTGACGACGCCTTGGCTGCTTGCAGTCACTTCGAGGTTTCCCACAAGTGCAGAGAAACCCTCGACATCTGACTGCAACACCCCTGAAAAGGTAGTGTGGCATGATTTCCCTACATATTTTGTAGCGGTAGCCTAGTTCAGCGAGTCATTCGCTCTGCACATCTCGACATTAACACAGCGTGCTTGCTTCGCAGGCATTTGACGACGCCTTCGCTGCTTGCAGTCACTTTGAGGTTTCCCACAAGTGCAGAGAAACCCTCGACATCTGACTGCAACACCCCTGAAAAGGTACGGTGGCATGATTTTCCTACATATTTTAGCCGTGGCCTAGCTCGGCGAGTGATTCGCTCTGCACATCTTGACATTAACACAGCGTGCTTGCTTCGCAAGCATTTGACGAAGCCTTGGCTGCTTGCAGTCACTTCGAGGTTTCCCAGAAGTGCAGAGAAACCCTCGACATCTGACTGCAACACCCCTAAAAAGGTAGGGTGGCGTGATTTCCCTACATATTTTGTAGCCGTAGCCTAGTTCAGTGAGTGATTCGCTCTGCACATCTTGACATTAACACAGCGTGCTTGCTTCGCAGGCATTTGACGACGCCTTGGCTGCTTGCAGTCACTTTGAGGTTTCCTGCAAGTGCCGAGAGACCCTCGACATCTGACTGCAACACCCCTGAAAAGGTACGGTGGTGTGATTTCCCTACATATTTTGTAGCCGTGGCCTAGCTCGGCGAGTGATTCGCTCTGCACATCTTGACATTAGCACAGCGTGTTTGCTTCGCAGGCACTTGACGACGCCTTTGCTGCTTGCAGTCACTTCGAGGTTTCCCACAAGTGCAGACAAACCCTCGACATCTGGCTGCAACACCCCTGAAAAGCTACGGTGGCGTGATTTCCCTACATATTTTGGAGCCGTGGCCGAGTTCAGCGAGTGATTCCCTCTGCACATCTTGACATTAACACAGCGTGCTTGCTTCGCAGGCATTTGACGACGCCTTGGCTGCTTGCAGTCACTTTGAGGTTTCCCACAAGTGCAGAGAAACCCTCGACATCTGACTGCAACACCCCTGAAAAGGTACGGTGGCGTGATTTCCCTACATATTTTGTAGCCTAGTTCAGCGAGTGATTCACTCTGCACATCTTGACATTAGAGAGTTTTAGTAGATCGTTCCCATGACTCCGATAACGATACCCGATACTCCGCCACCGCCTCCCTTGCGCATGCATAGTATCGTTATCGGGGTTATAGGAGGTATCGGAACGATCTACTAAAACTCTCTAATAACACAGCGTGTTTGCTTCGCAGGCATTTGACGACGCCTTGGCTGCTTGCAATTACTTTGAGGTTTCCTGCAAGTGCCGAGAGACCCTCGACATCTGACTGCAACACCCCTGAAAAGGTACGGTGGCGTCATTTCCCTATATATTTTGTAACCGTGGCCTAGTTCAGCGAGTGATTCGCTCTGCACATCTTGACATTAACACAGCGTGCTTGCTTCGCAGGCATTTGACGACGCCTTGGCTGCTTGCAGTCGATTCAAAGTTTCCCACAAGTGCAGAGAAACCCTCGACATCTGACTGCAACACCCCTGAAAAGGTAGTGTGGCGTGATTTCCCTACATATTTTGTAGCGGTAGCCTAGTTCAGCGAGTCATTCGCTCTGCACATCTTGACATTAACACAGCGTGCTTGCTTCGCAGGCATTTGATGACGCCTTGGCTGCTTGCAGTCACTTTGAGGTTTCCTGCAAGTGCCGAGAGACCCTTGACATCTGACTGCAACAACCCCTGAAAAAGTACGGTGGCGTGATTTCCCTACATATTTTGTAGCCGTGGCCTAGCTCGGCGAGTGATTCGCTCTGCACATCTTGACATTAACACAGCGTGCTTGCTTCGCAGGCATTTGACGACGCCTTTGCTGCTTGCAGTCACTTCGAAGTTTCCCACAAGTGCAGAGAAACCCTCGACATCTGACTGCAACACCCGTGAAAAGGTACGGTGGCGTGATTTCCCAACATATTTTGTAGCCGTGGCCTAGCTCGGCGAGTGATTCGCTCTGCACATCTTGACATTAACACAGCGTGTTTGCTTTGCAGGCATTTGACGACGCCTTTGCTGCTTGCAGTCACTTCGAGGTTTCCCACAAGTGCAGATAAACCCTCAACATCTGGCTGCAACACCCCTGAAAAGGTACGGTGGCGTGATTTCCCTACATATTTTGGAGCCGTGGCCGAGTTCAGCGAGTGATTCGCTCTGCACATCTTGGCATTAACACAGCGCGCTTGCTTCGCAGGCATTTGACGACGCCTTGGCTGCTTGCAGTCACTTTGAGGTTTCCCACAAGTGCAGAGAAACCCTCGACATCCGACTGCAACACCCCTGAAAAGGTACGGTGGCGTGATTTCCCTACATAATTTGTAGCCTAGTTCAGCGAGTGATTCACTCTGCACATCTTGACATTAGAGAGTTTTAGTAGATCGTTCCCATGACTCCGATAACGATACCCGATACTCCGCCACCGCCTCCCTTGCGCATGCATAGTATCGTTATCGGGGTTATAGGAGGTATCGGAACGATCTACTAAAACTCTCTAATAACACAGCGTGCTTGCTTCGCAGGCATTTGACGACGCCTTGGCTGCTTGCAATCACTTTGAGGTTTCCTGCAAGTGCCGAGAGACCCTCGACATCTGACTGCAACACCCCTGAAAAGGTACGGTGGCGTCATTTCCCTACATATTTTGTAACCGTGGCCTAGTTCAGCGAGTGATTCGCTCTGCACATCTTGACATTAACACAGCGTGCTTGCTTCGCAGGCATTTGACGACGCCTTGGCTGCTTGCAGTCACTTCGAGGTTTCCCACAAGTGCAAAGAAACCCTCGACATCTGACTGCAACACCCCTGAAAAGGTACGGTGGCGTGATTTCCCTACATATTTTGTAGCCGTGGCCTAGTTCAGCGAGTGATTTGTTCTGCACATCTTGACATTAACACAGCGTGCTTGCTTCGCAGGCATTTGACGACGCCCTGGCTGCTTGCAGTCACTTCGAGGTTTCCCACAAGTGCAGAGAAACTCTCGACATCTGACTGGAACACCCCTGAAAAGGTACGGTGGCGTGATTTCCCAACATATTTTGTAGCCGTGGCCTAGCTCGGCGAGTGATTCGCTCTGCACATCTTGACATTAACACAGCGTGTTTGCTTTGCAGGCATTTGACGACGCCTTTGCTGCTTGCAGTCACTTCGAGGTTTCCCACAAGTGCAGATAAACCCTCGACATCTGGCTGCAACACCCCTGAAAAGGTACGGTGGCGTGATTTCCCTACATATTTTGGAGCCGTGGCCGAGTTCAGCGAGTGATTCGCTCTGCACATCTTGACATTAACACAGCGTGCTTGCTTCGCAGGCATTTGACGACGCCTTGGCTGCTTGCAGTCACTTTGAGGTGTCCCACAAGTGCAGAGAAACCCTCGACATCCGACTGCAACACCCCTAAAAAGGTACGGTGGCGTGATTTCCCTACATATTTTGTAGCCTAGTTCAGCGAGTGATTCACTCTGCACATCTTGACATTAGAGAGTTTTAGTAGATCGTTCCCATGACTCCGATAACGATACCCGATACTCCGCCACCGCGTCCCTTGCGCATGCATAGTATCGTTATCGGGGTTATAGGAGGTATCGGAACGATCTACTAAAACTCTCTAATAACACAGCGTGCTTGCTTCGCAGGCATTTGACGACGCCCTGGCTGCTTGCAGTCACTTCGAGGTTTCCCACAAGTGCAGAGAAACTCTCGACATCTGACTGGAACACCCCTGAAAAGGTACGGTGGCGTGATTTCCCTACATATTTTGTAGCCGTGGCCTAGTTCAGCGAGTGATTCGCTCTGCACATCTTGACATTAACACAGCGTGCTTGCTTCGCAGGCATTGCACGCCGCCTTGGCTGCTTGCAGTCGCTTCGAGGTTTCCTGCAAGTGCAGAGAGATCCATGACATCTGACATGCACCGTTGCAGTCTCTGCGACTCCACTGGACCTTTTTCTTTGCATGGCATGTAGCCGTGGGTTCCTTTGCCCTGCACAGCTACGAGTTCTTTTTCTTCAGACAGGCGTCTCAAAGGCCTATTTGAGAACCATGTATTGTTTTGCTTTTAGCTTGTATGATTTGGTTTTTAAGTGATAGATTTTTTTATTAAATATGATATGGCAATTTTGAAAGCCAGGTTTTGTTTATGAAGTACATGTGATTATTGTGTATTGTGCTTGTTTGTTTTCAGGTTCCCTGGTTGCATCTCGTTGAGCAATCTCTGACTTAAGGGAAGCTGTTGTTATCAAGAATTTCGTATTTGGTAAAAGAATAACGGAGAAAGTTTTTTAATATAGTGGTGCATTCTGGTTGTGTATAACTGGTGAATAGTACACTGCTTTGCTAATGGCACAGTATTTTTTTTCTCTTGTACATTTAATTTGCGTTCAAATATTAAAATATGATTTGTGTCCAAATAATGTCTTTTTGGGCCGATTGTATAGTATTGAATTCACCATGACCTGGATTTCTAACATGAGTCCCATTTCCCAGTCTTATATTTTTGTCTCTGCAGGGCAATGTAATTCCCGAGAGGATTGGTTGTCCTGTATAAAAGCAGCATTCGGCATACCCGTATGTTTTGACACACTTTTTTTCTCCCGCCAAGACAGTTTTTTTTAAGCTTGGTTGACCAAATTGATGCCACTCAACATTCCCAGATAGGTGCTTATGATGTTTTGCTACTGTTGGCCTGGAATCAAAGGAGCGCTCAGTACCCAGTCTTCTACCAGACTGTTTTTTGTCTTCGTTGAGCGTGCTTGTTGCTGATGATGTGCTGATGATGTTTTCGGAACAGTGGCCGGGGATAAAAAGAGTAATCAATATTCAGCCTTCTACCAGGCACTTCTTTGTCTTCGTTAACCAAGTTCATGCCGGTCAACATTGGCCGGACAGGTACTGATGATGTATTTTGGACCAGTGGCCAGGGGACAAAAAGAGTAATCAGTATTTAGCCTTCTGCCAGGTACTTTTTTGTCTTCGTTGACCAAGTTCATGCAGGTCAACATTTGCCGGACGAGTGCTGAGGATGTATTTCAGACCAGTGGCCGGGGATAAAAAGTGTAATTAGTATTGAGCCTTCTACCGGGCACTTTTTTGGCTTAGTTGACCAAGTTCATGCCGGTCAACATTTGCCAGACAGGTGCTGATGACGTTTTTTGGACCAGTTGCCGGGGATAAAAAGAGTAATCGGTGTTCAGCCTTCTACCGAGCACTTTTTTGTCTTAGTTGACCAGGTTCATGCCGGTCAACATTGGCCGGACAGGTGCTGATGATGTTTTTTGGACCAGTGGCCGGGGATAAAAAGAGTAATCGGTGTTCAGCCTTCTACCAAGCACTTTTTTCTCTTAGTTGACCAAGTTCATGCCGGTCAACATTGGCCTAACAGGTGCTGATGATGTTTTTTGGACTGGTGGCCGGGGATAAAAAGAGTAATCAGTGTTCAGCCTTCTACTGGGTGCTTTTTTGTCTTAGTTGACCAACTTCATGCCGGTCAACATTGGCCGGACAGGTGCTGATGATGTATTTCAGACCAATGACCGGGGATCAAAAGAGCAATCAGTTTTCAGCCTTCTACCGGGCACATTTTCGTCTTAGTTGACCAAGTTCATGCCGGTTAACATTGGCCGGACAGGTGCTGATGATGTATTTGAGACCAGTGACTGGGGATAAAAAGAGTAATCAGTATTCAGCCTTCTACCGGGCACTTTTTCGCCTTCGTTGACCAAGTTCATGCCGGTCAACATTGGCCGGATGAGTGCTGACCATCTTTTTGGGGTGAGTGGCCAGGGAGAAAACGAA